ACTCAAGATCCAGGACTCGCGATCCATGACACAGGACCGCAGGATCATCCATGACTCCGGATCCCGGCGTATATAGACACCAAAAAGAAAGAAATTTGGGGAAGCTGGGTTAATTGGAACATGAGAGTACACAGGTATAGACAGAGAGAAGGAAGAAGTAAGATGTCCCCCGACAAACTAAGCCTATATCAGCAAAACTAGGGGCTGAATCTAATCAGCCCTAACTATAAGCTTTATCAAAAAGGAAGGTCTTAAGCGCACTCTTAAAAACGGATAGGGTGTCTGCCGTCCGATCACAAACTGGAAGCTGATTCCACAAAAGTGGAGCTTGATAAGAAAAGGCTCTGGCTCCCATTGTACTTTTAGAGACTCTAGGAACAACCAACAACCCTGCATTCTTGGAACGCAATGCCCTAGTAGGACAGTAGGGTATAATGAGTTCTTTAAGGTAAGATGGCGCCTGCCCATTAAGGGCTTTGTAGGCCAGAAGAAGAATTTTAAATTCTATCCTGTGTTCTATAGGGAGCCAGTGTAAGGCAGCCAGAACAGGAGTAATGTGGTCCCTTTTCCTAAACTAAGTCATTTGTAAAAGAGACGCAGTAGTTGTTAAATATGTTCTCCATTACCGTCTGCTGGTTTCTGTCGCAGAATCTCAAACCGAATAATTCGACTTGTGCGATTTTTAGGTGAAAAAACACGAGCCGCAAGATGGCCGCCGCCTTGGAAGACTTCTGAGGACATTAAAAAGAGGAGATCAATAAATATATAAAACATACATTATTTATTAAAGGACAATAAAACACTTTCATTTATATTATTTGATATTAATATTAACTCTCACTTTGATGCCCTGCTCTGACGTCAGGCAGAGCTTCCTGTCGTCCAATAGGAGCACTTCTCCATAGAAATCTTCCCGGTTGCCACGGAAACACGCCATCCTGACTAAGCACGAAAGATAGTCGGATAACTTGAACGAGAAATCAACCAATTAGGAGCTGAGTTACAGAACAGAACACTCCAGACATTAAATGTTTACATGTCTGTACCCCCCCCACCCCCTCATAAATAAAGGTTATTTATATTGAACCTTTAAAGACGGACGTTATTGTTATTAAAGTTTACCCTCACCTCTTCTCCTGCTCTGACGCTGCTCTGTTGACCTGTTGCCATGGAGACAACCTTCTGGCCCCGCCCCCTCCTCTCTGTCTCACTGTTTCGTTTTTTTATTATTTATGTGTAAATTCAAACGATTTCATTTTCTTGTCAGACTATGTGAAATATTTGTGTATTATTTTTAACTTACTCAAAAAAAACAAGAAACAGAAAATGCTGATTATTTTAATTTAAAATGTTAAAGATAAGAGATAACTTTCCCTCTACGCAGGCCCCGCCCCCTTCTGGGTGAAAACACCATGGATGTTTAATAGTGACAAAATAGCCACGCCCCCTTCTTTGTGAAAACACTCGCTGTCATGAAATGGGGGAAAATACAGATTCTGTAGTTTTCATCCATTTAATCAAAACATTCATTAATCCCTTTTTATCCACAAGGAGCTCATGATGACGTCACACAGGATCAATAGCTCATTATGACGTCACAGGATCAATAGCTCATGATGACGTCACAGGATCAATAGCTCATGATGACGTCACAGGATCAATAGCTCATGATGACATCACAGGATAAATATCTCATGATGACATCACAGGATCAATAGCTCATGATGACATCACAGGATCAATATTGCAATTGATTGGAGACCACTGATCGGACTCTTAGTGGTTTGATTGGAAACATGTTTCAAATCAATAGCCTTGATTTGGTCTTTAATCAATAACCTTGATTTGGTATTTAATCAATAACCTAACCCTTTAAATTAAATGTAATAATCTATTTTAAACTTATATCAACAAAACACTTCCTGCGGTTTTTCACATTAAAAGCCTTAATATAAAAAGAAGACAGCAAGACTTTTACTTTGAAAGGTCAGGAAGTGATTTAAACCTCTGACACAAATTATTCCACATATTTACAACTCCAATACATTTATTTATTTCACAGTTTATCAAAATATCTGTGGATATAAAACATTCACACGCATGATGTCATCAATGATCAATAATCAATAAATAAACCTTTAATTCTGTTTTCAGTCAAACTTATCTGTGATTTTAACTTTTAATAAATCCTGATTCTCAAAATCAAGTAAGAAACAGAAACAATTAAATATATTTTCCTTCAAAATAAAAGTCATTCAGTCAAAGTGCCAGGAAGTCAGAAGGAACACTAATCCAGTCTTTCACAATAAAAGCCTTTCACATTATTAAACATTGAGGATTTGATATGTTTCAAAATAAAGTACATCTTTGTAGAGATTTCAAAATAAGAGCCAGGCGAGATACAAGACATGAACTCTAACGAGGTCTTTCACAATAAAAGTCTTTCAAAACAATTAAACACATAATTTCTTCATGAATTTCAAAATAATGTATGCTTTGTTACAGCCTACAAAATAAAAGCCAGAAGGAATGCACAATAGTAAGGGATGACGTATTTCAGAATAAAAGTCTTTTTTTGGTTTCTCATGAAAGTCTTTTCAAAATAAAAGCTATAGCTAAAAAGACAATAGTAGATTTTCAAAATAAAAGCCCGAGGGAAAAGACCTTGTTTTCTGTTGCTTCTTCAAAATAAGAGCTGAGCTATGACATAAAGTTATAATCCCTTCAAAATAAAGCTTCAGGTCCAGAATTTCCTCATCGAACAGGAAATACAAATATATTAATTGTATTAAATAATTTAATTTAAATATGTATTCTTAATTTTTTCTTAAGTTTATATTTGACGAAGACAACAACAACAACAACAACACGTAAATCTGTAATAATAAAATGTACTGTAATAAATTAAACTCATAATTACAAATGTATAAAATAATAAATTAATGATAATTAACAGCAGGGAAATGGAAGCAGCTGATTGGACGAGGATCTAAGGCGACAGGTTGCTCAGGCTCTGATTGGTCGAGAGGAAATTACCCATGAAGCTCGGCACCTGCAGGCCCGTCGTCAAGGCGATGCCGCCGCACCAAACCTGCAACGATTTAATACAGGAAGTGTTCATATTGTTTAAATTAAGACCTTCAAAATAAAAGTCTGGCATTCAACAAAACAGTATCGCTTTTTCAAAATAAAAGCTCTAAAACTTCAAATTATGAATTTTAAAATAAATGAAATTGTGAAAATGCTTAATAATTGTTTCAAAAAATATCAATAAAATAATAAATAATTATAAAATATTAAAATAATATTAAGATATTAAAATAATAATAAGATATTAAACAGGTGTCTGAGTACTGACGGTGAAGGCGGGGACGAGCGGCTGGTTGAACTTTGTTTTGAAGGAGTGAAGAAGACGAAGACGATCGACGTCAATGAAGATTAAATCTCCTGAAACAGAGAGACGTCAACGACTGAACACAAAACTGAAAATATCAAAATCATAAATATAAATATATATCGTATAATAAAAGTAGAAGGAGAGGCGTTCGTATAAACACAAAATAAAAGGAGCAGAATATCTACCGTTGTCGTAGTCGCAGTAGATTCCGATTCGCTGAGGCAGCGGCCAATCGAGCGCCTTCGCCCGGTTGTTGTGCTTGGCAGCGAGCGAGCTCTGCAGCCATTGGCTGGCGTGGAGACACCAGGAACCGGAGCTTTTACCTAATTGGTCGAAGCGTCCCAGGCTGGAGCGATAGGCCACGCCCACACTGAAGGACTTCCAGTCGGCGAGAGGGCGGAGCTCCCAGTAGAGACCGCCGCCCACCAACTCCTGATCGCCTAGGAGACGGGAGGATGTTTTATTAAACCTTCAAAATAAAAGTCCACTAAACACGGCGGGTTTTCTTTTTTATAAATATCAAAATAAAAGCTGGTGAAAATGTTTTTTATTTTATTCTTTATATTTTAAAACCCATATTGTAAAGCATTAGCATTAGCATTGGTTAGAATTCTTCACCCAGCACGGTGTACGACTCTCCGGCGAATCGGTCGCGTGCGCCTCGACTTCCTGCCGTCTTATTGGGCGAGGGCGTGGCGCTCCGGCTGCCGACCAATAAGAACACATCATTTAGTAAAAAATATAAAGAAATATTTAAAACCCTTTAAACTCGTAGAGAGTGAAAGTGAGAAACCAGGAAGTGAAACAGCCAATGAGACGAGCCGAAGCGATGATGACAAAACGTGAAAAAACTCAAAATATTAATTTAATTGATTTATAATTCTGTAACCAACAAAATACACAATATCTAAATAAATAGAAACAAACAAAGAATTAAAATGTTAGTGTTTTAATTTAAGCGACTTTGAGCTTCAGGAAAATTCCGTGTATTATTTTTATAATAAATCTAATTAAGCTGGTTATTAAAATGTAATATGTCATAAACACATATATATTCACTCTGTTATTATGAGTTTATTGAATAGGTTTGTGTTATATTAAATCAACACGTGAACAAAAAGAGCCACAAACAGATCTGAATATTAAACCAGGGTAAGATGATGTCAGCGGTTGCAGTGATGTGATTGGCTGAGTGGAGCAGTGATGTGATTGGCTGAGTGGAGCAGGAAATGGCGGATGGAGAACGTGATTGGTCAGCGAAGTCGTTTCTACCTGAGCGAGCGATGGCGACGCGGTACGGAGACTGAAGAGGGACAAAAAGGTCAGCAGCAGAAAGCAAACCCTAAATTAATGACAGTTTAGATCGGGTTCGAACCACCTGGGAGGAAAAGGCAGGAAGGACTACAACTCCCATGATGCTCAGCGGTACCTGCTCTTGTTCTCTTTGCCTCTCAGCCGGGCGTCGTGACCTTTGACCCCCTGCGGCTCCCAGGTCACCGTGTCGCTCTGAACCCTCAGCTCAGCGTGAGCCGACGAGCCGTCAAACACAAAGGCGAACGCTGCAGGAAAGTACATTTAAAATAATTAAGTAATAATAATAAAAAGTTATGCAGAAAATAAATGAAATTAAGCTACGATAAATATTTATATAAAACCACCTGCGGTCGGCACGGCAACCAGCTCGGAGAAGTCGCCGGCGGCCGCTTTGTTCCTCGCTCGAACACGAACCACCACGAAGCGGGAGTCGAACTTCAGACCGGAGATGGTCGCCTGAGTCTCCTCGATGTCGGTAATTTTTTCCCAGCATGCATCTCCGGCGGCCCTCAGCGAATCTTCTCTGTTCGACTTCCTGTATTCCAGATCATAGCGTTCGATTCGTCCGTCGTCAGCGTCGCCGGCCGGTCGCCAGGCAACCGTGATGCTGTTGTCCCTGGCAACGCAGGAGGGGGCGTTGATCTCCGGAGCTTTGGGGACTGAGAGGTAGATTTTCAAAATAAAATACTGATATTCATCCGGATGACACCGAGCAGGAGACGGTGCACTTTATACATTCATAAAGATTTGGCCGACAAACACAAACATTGAAATAAATAATACATTGACTGAAAAAAAAAAATCTGACTGATATTGATCTGATATTGATTCTGATATTGATTCTGATATGGATCTGATATGGATCTGATATTGATCTGATATTGATCACCTGGCAGGAAGTGCAGCCTCTGAAGCCCCGCCCTCTCGGCGCTGAAGTCGACGGTGAACTGCGACATCGTCTCCGACGCCGCCGGACGGGTCGCCAGGCGGAACCCCGGGGCCATGGTTACCCTGGCAACGGGGGTTAAACGCTGAGCTTTGATTGGTTTAAGACGTGTTAGTGTTTTTTTACTAATTTAATTAAAAGGTAAAATAAAAAAAATAAAAGAAAGTGTTAATTAAAAATAAAACAGAAACAAAGAAAGAGCAAAATAAATCAAATGTTAAAACATGTCAACATCAAAGTGTTTGATAACGTATCAAAGGACGGGTTAACGAACCTCTCTTTGATCTGTTTCGCCGCCTGGACAGAAAACACATAAACAACTTTATTATTTTATGTTTGTTTTTAATTGATTTTATTATTTTTAATGTCCTCCCATCCTACCTTGAGGAACTCTTCTTCGTTGGTGATCGTCAGCGTTTGGTTAGCGAACTCGAGCAGCTCTTCGCCCGAACGCAGGGCGAACTTCCCCTCCGACATCTGCTTCTGAAACACGTTTAATATAATACATTTATTGAAATAGTTATTCAGCCAAAGTATTTAAAACGGAGTTACAATTAATACGAAAGAATAATTCCTGATTATAATAAGCGTCTCCACCTGAAGCTCCGCCTCCTTCCTCCGCTTCTCCTCTTTGATGACGTCACATAGCCCCGCCCCTTTCTCATCCAGGGCGGAGCTTAGCTGTTCGAGCTCTGCCTCCAGCTCTGACATCACCTTACATGACTCCTCCTGATTGGACAGAACACGTTTTTAACTTTAATTCAAAGAGATACAACATAAGCCCCTCCCACTTTCTCCCCCTGAGCCAATCAGCTGCTGACCTGCAGGCCCGTCAGCGTGTTGTCGACGGTCTCCAGGAAGGTTTGCAGCTCTTCATTCTTATTGGCTAGCGTGCTGATGATGCGGCTCAGAGCTTCCTGTTCAACACACTCAGTATTATAAAGTGGAACAAACTCAGATTCATACTTATCTGTTAGCAGCATTTAAATATATAATAAGATGAAGCTATATATACACTTTAGGAATATTAAAAACTACATAAACTGTTTTTATAACAATTCAAATGTTATTTAATTATATTATTATGTTGTCATAGAGGCTTCATAGAATACAAACACTTAGACAAAGACGTAAAAAATCGAACTTGTCTTTTTGTTGGCAGCTGTGTGTGTGTGTGTGTGTGTGTGTGTGTGTGTGTGTGTGTGTGTGTGTGTGTGTGTGTGTGTGTGTGTGTGTGTGTTTACAGTATCCTTCCCATTTCACACAGCCCATGAATAA